ATAAACCTCTGGTTTATTTTAGAAAGGGATTAACATGGACTGATAAATCATGTCATAGCTGGGAGAGAAGTTAAATGGAATAGACATGTCATCAAGGTGATGTTCAAATAATTGAATATCTTATTGTTAATATGACTTTTAAAGTCTAGAGCTTAAAGTCCTTAGTGTTGTTCTTTGTAAACCTGTGATCCAAGTCCCCCTTTTTTCTGAAAATCGCATGCACCTTTCTTAAACGATAGATAAGAAATCACTATATTTAACTTCATGCTGGGGAAGGGGTGGAAATCAGCATCATGATTATCTCCTGCTGCCTGATCGCATCTCAAATCTGTTTAAATTGGAGTGCTGTTTCAGTTGTATTGCAAATTTAAAGTAGCTGCCTTGAGATCTTGTAAATGAAACACGGTGTTCCTGAGTTAGAGAGAAATAATTGTACCTCCACATGTAGGTGTAATGATGTAGGTGTTGCCCTGGACCGATTAGATCGGGAGATTCTCAACCAAGGCGCCTCAGCTGGGCTCCTGGAGCTGGGCACTGTGGTGCCTGCTGCTTGCCCCCTTTTTTGAAACCACTCTTCGTGTTTTTCCTGGTTCGTAATTCAATCTGGAAGTTTCCTTCGGTAACTTGGAACTTTTAAGGGACAGCTTAGCACTTCTGAACACTAGCAGCTGATTCGGATCACCGGTAGCCACCAGAAAGACTCAGATTTGGTTGCTGATGGGGTCTGAAGTTCACCCCAGCAATGAGGTTTTCCACCTTTCCATAAACAGTGGCAGAATTCTTCCTTTCTCAGCCTAGATCCATAGGAGTTTAGTTGTTGGCTTTACTGTGCAGGACTTAGAGGGATTATTCATCCTGGCAGCTGATAGGCGCTTGTAAAGAAGGTGATGTGGGAATGCATGACTTGGAGCCTGCTTTGGTTTGTATGGGTAAAGGTGTACTCAGCATTGTCTCACACAGTGTAAATTCTGCCACTCTATGTAAAGTGTCCAGTAGTGAATATTCAAGTTCTGTGGAGACACCTAAAAAGTACAAGGGAGCACTCTTTGAGTGAGAATGTGGAAAATAATAATTTCACCAATATTTGCTGCATTAATAACAGCATTGACTTCATCAGTCAGACCTGCGCTGAGAGCATTTAAAAATCATTGTTCTCCTTTGCTGTTGCTGACAGCTTTGCTAGTTTAAGTTGTCTTATAAAATATAGGCATGAAATTGGGTTGAAAATTAGATTTACCTTTTTCCTTCTCCCTAATACATTTCCTTTAGAACGATGGTTATTTAAGAAGCTGCATGAGGCTTTCAGCCAGGATTCACACAGAACGTTGTAAAACCGCAGTTTTAATGCATGTTGGTCCTTTAAAGCTCCTGCATGTCATGGTAATGATGCGAAGCACCTGTTCGGAAGGTAACATATTAAGACTGTCCTCGGAGTAGCAGTGGATTCATGTTAATATGGATGAGAAGCAGTTCAGCTCTCTGCAGTTCATGAGCTGTTACTTGCCTATGTCAAGCCGCAAGTCCCAAGGCTGTTGGAGCATGGTGGTGCCGGAGAAGTCAGTCCACAACTTCTGGCCTTGCATTTCTGCTCCTCTCTGCAACACCAAAGCTCCACTTTGAGAAAGGCTGGATTTGAATTTCTCCTCAGTTTTCTGATTGTTGACTCATTCCTCCTAATGCAACTGGACGTGCTCTTCAGAACCGTCCCTGCATCATGTTCATGTCTGGCTGGTTGCAGACCAGAGACCTGTGACTACATTTGACGATTTTGACCATTGTTAATGCTGATTGCTTTGCTGGGTCATTCAAACCTGTCTGCAGCTGGGGTAGGAGTGTCCTTTCCGGTGCACTTTTACAGCTGCTCCATGATGAGACTGTTCTGGAACTATTTTCTGTCATTACGATAGTTGTGTTGGTTTGGAAATTTCTCCAAATGGGTAACCTAAAAGCCAGAGAATGTGGGCTGGAGAGAATAATCAACTGCCGATGTTTCTTATGAAAGTGTGCCTCATGTCCACAGCAAAAATAATGCAATCAATTGTCAGGGATGCTGTAGACAAGTGACCTTCCCCTTGTAATTCAAAGGGGAAAAGAACTGCATTGCTCTCCAGTGGTCAGTGTTCCATTCTGAGACACATAGTGGATTCAAACTAGCAGGGACCCAGAGTGGGTGAGGAGCAGAGGTGATGGGCAGTTGGCCCTCACGTCCTCAGTGTCCTCTGGATGTAGGAGTGCTGTCAAGGGGCTCAGCTCTGCTCTGCTTAGCAAAGGAAACTGGTTAAATTGGGTAGAGATCTCATCCCTCAAATTCCCGAGCTGTCTGAGTGCCATGGGAGGCAGCTGGCGATTCAGAGAGTGGGAAGAGTTATGCCTGATTTCAAAAGACTTGCTGGATTGATGTCTGCATTATATAGCTTTCAAAGGATGTTAATAAAGCTTTCCTGCTCCTAAAAGATGAGTTGCATGGAGACATCGGGAGAGAGCTGTATTCATGCCATGTAAACTTCTGACTTCAGAGCCTCATCTAAAGGATTCCCCTAAGCTTGTTTCCTGCTCTGAATTACACCCCAGACAGCTTGTGCGTTTCGTAGGTGCCCAAGAGCCATAACGTAAAAATGGGTCCGTGAAAGTAGCAGTGAGGAGATGGAATGGCTGTTAATGTCCTGACTCACGTAAAGGAATAAAATGGAAACTTCGTAGAGGTACAGAGGATGTCGGAGAGCGATGCAGTTTTACGTGCGCTTTTGCCGATACACAACTTGAACATTATCCTGGTAACTTTGTTGAATTGAGTGAGTTACACAGGTGTAAATGAGGTTTTTTTTTTGCCCACATCTTGGGTGTTCTGTTGTTCTGGTCCAAGATGTGCTGCTCTGTGAGGTAAATTACCAAAATTCACTCTTAATTGAACCCACTTTATCAGTGGAGTCCAGTTGCTTTCTAAGCGTGTGCCTTCTCACTGTGTAGGCGCATGCATTTAACAAGGATTTACTGTGTTAAGTGCATGATCATATGGTGGAACAGCTGAACGTTTACAGCAGTTCTCCAGAGCTGAACTAATGGGTTTGTGATTTAGTTCTCAACTAATATATTTTGCATTTGGTACATCCACGCTAGCGAGGCAGTATCTAGGTTTAAACAATGCGGGATTGTTTTACCCGTTGTCATTTCCAGGCAGCTCTCAAAATAAGGGGTCTGAGCAATAATGCAAGTCTCAGTTTTAGGAATTTGAAAGAACAACTCCAGAGAAGTGTATTAAAATGTTTAATCGCTGCATCTGATAGCAAAGGAGAGTGTGAGGAAGGGCCTGAAATGTACAGGATGGTCTTCAAGCAGAAGGGCCCCATTTGTCTCCTAAGGATGACGAGAAGGCACAGGACCTTCAGGGAGTTATCCAAAATTCTTCCATAACTTGCTTCTGACAGATGCTAATTTTGAGAGGAAGCAGATGACTGCAACTTCAAAGTCAGCTATTTTTGAAGTTACTTACTTCCAAACCAGTTTTATGACCACATTGCACTGGTCAGCCTGATCCAGAGGATCAGACACTGGGTGTTCCTGCTGGTCGTTTGGTACCCAGGTGACCTTGGTTGGCAGTGGCCGTGCCGGTGTTGCACTGCACCTCGAGGCTCCATCACAGAGCTCTGCTTGTGGGCATCTGTGCTGTTTTATCTGGACTGTGTCTAACTGTACAGAGGAGATTTGGATATATCCAGTCCGTAATGCCGCTAAGCCAGCATGATTATCTCTTTGCTTCCATCACTGCTCTCTTTCCTACGGCTCTGGCTGTGTTTTAGTGCAGGGGAGCTGGTGACTTCACCCCGCTCTGGAGTATTGAAGAAATACATATGATAATAAGGCAAAGGTTTTCCTTTGTAACTCTGACCTTAATTCATCTGCATTGTGTACTACACACATCAAGAGACTTCTTTCTTCCTCTTGCTTGTAGCTTTAAATCTTCCATGCAGAAGGGTTATTGTCCATAAAAAATAACTTTGGCTAGCTGCTTGTAACTCACCAACCATTTTTCAATGTTACCTTCCTGATATTTAGCAACAGCAGCATGAATATGTACCTGGATACTTAATTTGCATGTGATGGTGTTTCTGGGAGATTTGAGACAAATTTACACAACTGAGGTTCTTTACAATATTTAGGAGTGTAAGCTGCATGAAAACGTGCAACTGCAACACTGCTGACTCAGTAACACTATGGCTAAGCAGCAGCTCTTCATTCCTAGAGGAATAAATTTTTGGCATGATGCAGAGTAAGCAGTTGGTGCAGAATAAGATACTTAACTGTCACATAAAGTTTTGGTATTATGAGTTGACTGTAATTAACGCAGTGAAGCTTTTTGATTGCAAAACATTGGATCTTTTTTATTTCCATAGACAAATACTGGATATTAATATGTATTTGAAATGCTGATAGTTGGGTTTTTTTGTTTTTTTTCTTTTGGACTTCGGAATGAAGAAAACTGTTTTAGCAGTTGCTTGCATGGAGTATTTGAATCTAGTGGTCCAACAATCAGTAACATGTTCCTAATATCATTTCATATAGGAGATTCATTCAATCCTTTAATGACTCTACAAAGTTGTCATTAGGATGTTGCCAAGCACAGAAGTAGGAAGGAAGAGGAATGTACCTGGGTTTAGTGATTAATATCCTCCCAATTAGTAAGATGTTGATTTTTAGGAAGGATGATGGGAAGGATTTATACAGCTGACACTTTGAGAAGGTCCTTGTGTAAAATGCTGTCTTTGGCTTGTTTAAACCTTTCAAATTGAGACAGATTTCTGTTCTCTGCAAAAGGAAAAAATTGCTATGAAATGCTTGATTTAATTGGGAAAAAAAATCTTACTAATTTAATCAAGGGAAAATGCGGGTTGAGACTTGAATTGCAAAAGCACAATCTGGCAGCAGCACTGGCTGAAAATAAGGTCCTCTATGGAGATCCACAGTTTTGACAAAATGTACTCTTGATTGTTTCCTGCATACAGGACGGGGTGACATTCAGCCCCAGTTGGATAGTGCTTTACAAGATGTCAATGATAAGTACCTGCTGCTTGAAGAAACCGAGAAGCAAGCTGTCAGAAAAGCTCTGATCGAGGAGCGCGGTCGATTCTGTACTTTCATCTCGATGCTGAGACCTGTGATAGTAAGAGCTCTCTGTTTTAAGTTGGTACAATTCACAAATTGAGTAAGTGGCCAAAAGCCTCTAAAAAGTTTGAGAGTAGCTTGTTATGTCTTAGGAATGAATCTCTAGACCCATAGAAACTAGCCAAAATTCAACCTGCACCTCTGCCTAAGAAGTGATGAGAGCTGGGCTCTTTCTTGTAGGCATTTGAAGTAATTCAGTGACTGCAAGACACTGAATGTTTTCAAGATGACTAATGGGAAAACAATGGGCACAAAGACTTAAGTGGGCTTGAGTTCCCTATGCATGACGACCTGAGACATTGCTAATGCAGTTTTTACCACTGCTTTTTTTCTTAACATCACATTTTAATATAAATCTTCCTTACTCCTACTCCAGCGCTAGGACTGATAAATGTTTCAAGACCTCCCCTGTGTATATAATGACATTATCTGACAGATTGCAGGCTGCTTCCGTGCAGTTTTCTGGCAGCTCTTTTCCTCCTACATGACAGCTTTTTCAGTTCATTGAAAAGGTTTAAGTATATTTTTATAATCTCAGGTTGTCTGAAGCCCAGCGATGAATCGTTTGTGGCTTTGTGCAAGCATGATGCATTTCTGAAGGGTCTCCAGCATACTGGGAAAATGTTCCCAGTGCTTGTTTACAAAGAGCATCAGTCTCAACAGAAAACCATGGTTAGAGAGGTAGGGAGGTGATGGCTCAGCAGGAGGAGGTGAATTGCAGACTCTGAGGACCTGGATGAAACTATCATGGTAGCTGTGGGATTACCATGGTAATTTACGGTGCAGGAATCATCTGAGTTAGCTGTTGATGTAGCTTGAGCCAGAATGAATCACAGCTGTGTTAATGCTCTGTACCTGTATAGTGCCTTTATCTCAAAGTTTCCTAAAACTAGCAAAAAGTACAAGTTTAACACCTGTTTAGGTTCAAGGTTAAAATCCTCAGGGCACATTAGTGAGTACACATAGAAAAGTTAAATCTTTTCTGAATGCAGCAAAAATGACACTCTTTTTCTGAAGATGTCACAAAAAGAAGGCTGAGACTTAACCTCATTGATGAGAAAGGATTTCTGGGCCTCAGAACTTACAGCAATCTTAAAGTAGGTATAAAAGTCTAAATTAGTATTTCCAACCTTCTTTCATAAGCAGTGATTGCTGAATGGGCAAAGGAAAAGCAGCTCCGCTGGGCATTCCCACAGTCATCAGCAAAAAGAAAAAGGTCATGTATTGTGTTATGGGTCTGATTTTTAAAGCCCAGGCTGTGATTAGCCTTGCTCTTTTCTCTTTTCAGGAAGAAGAAATATCAATGCTAGGAGAAATAACCCATTTACAAACCATATCAGATGACCTGAAAAGTCTCACCATGGATCCACACAAGCTGCCATCTTCAAGTGAACAGGTTAGCTCTTGTTACCTGGAAAACATTTTTATTTGTAGCTTGTACCAGTTTTCCTTTTGTGTTATGAGGAATGTTGACTACTGCCATTTAGTGGCTTAATGTTATGTTTTGTAGACGCTTCACTGCGACAAGGTCATTTTTAACATAAGCAATTTTAAAAAAAACATTTTGAAGTACCAGCTGAATGCTCCTGAAGTATTTGGTGAGACCAGTGTGAAGTGGTAGCAGTAATACTTCTGAAGTATATGAAGATGCCCAATTTCAGCTGCAAGTACATGAGGAATGAGTGTCATCTCCTCGCCCTAGATTTGAGCATCCCTGTCTTTAAGTGGTCACAAGATTTCTGGGATTAGATAGCTTGATGCAGTCTAACATTTGAGCATTTTTCCATGCTGTCCTTAAAATGCATAGGAAAATGTTTATCATTCAATGACTCCAGCTAGGACCTTTTTCTCCAATCCTGCTGTGTGAACTGAGTTTTTCTGTCATACCTTAATCACCTTATCATTGACCTAGAAGCATAAAGGAGGGAAGCTCTGCTGTGGTTGAATATTGGATCTTTGATTAATTTTTTAAAACGCCACAGTTTTTAAACTCTAAGGCTGTAATAGGTTTTTTTTTAAGGAAAAAACCCAAACCAAAACAGCTTACAGCATGCATAAAATAAATATCCAGTTTACTTTTTAAAGATTTTTCCATTCAAATCTGAACTTCCCTTCTGCGAAAGCAGCCCTAGTGTTGAAGTATGGTAGTTCTGGAAAGCCAAGCATGAAGCTGACTTTCCTGTGTTATGTACACAGTGTAATTCTGGAAGAGAACTGAGGCTGGGTCAATTGGCCCTGAATGTTTGTAGTGGTGACAAATGTTGTATGACAAGCAGATGCTTTCTGTTAATAGGGGGAAAAATTTTTCCACTTCCTTGATGCTGTTGATTATCTTTCATCAGGTAATTTTAGATTTGAAAGGTTCTGATTACAGCTGGTCTTATCAGACTCCTCCATCCTCTCCCAGTACTACCATGTCCAGAAAATCTAGTGTTTGCAGGTAAGTAGCCTGGTAATATTTAATTTTAACCTGTTTAAAATTAAAGGGGGCAAAGGGAGGCAAGTTCAGACTGTGGTATCCATTTGTATGCATACTTAAATCTTAAACAACTCTCAATGAAATCAATCCCTCATGGTCTTTCTCCGTTTAAGTGTGTGACTGGGAATATTAAAAAGGATGGGCATGACTGAACAACTTTTAAACTCAAGACAACTTGAGATGCTTTTGATTCAGTTCTCTTGAATCCATTTCAGATCAAAGAGCAGACTGTACTGATCTAAGCTCTGAGATTGTTCATTCATAATTTCCTTTTCTGTTTTTCATGTGATGACTTTTTAGATTATTCTAAGTAGCTGTTACTAATCAGTAAGTTAAACTGTTTGAAAAGGAAAAACATCCTTGGCAATTGCCCTATCAGTCTGATAGATGGAAATGCTTTTTTGATACAAGTTTTTTTGACTGTTTAATGCTGTCTAATGCTGTCCTGAAATATGTTGAAACACTGGGTTCTGTCTATGCTTTCTCTGTAAAAACTGTTTTCTCTCATAAAACAGTTTAGTAGCATGTTGCCTCCATACCCTGGTGTCTACATTTACTCTTTCCTTTTACTGAAAAGGAAGATACCCTGTTGTGTATTCTGCTCAACACCTTTCCAGCTGCTCTCAAATTATTACCTTTTAGTTTGCTTTATGAATAATGTACTACAGGTTCCCTGTGTACGAGCAAAGTTACCTATAGCATGTCAGAGCAAGTGAACATGACTTCTTCTATGTACCTACTTGTCTCTGCATGCAGATATATATAAAAAAAACTTCAGTGCTTTTATATATATATGTGAAAACACGCATATTTAGAGCAATGAGCACAGGCTTAAAGATGCAATATCCTGAAGCTGTAAAAGAAAATGGCAAAAAAAATAATAATCCATCATCTGTTCCTAATCAACTTCATCTTCTTGTGTGGTAAAACCTGTGTGGCAACAGACTGTTGTGTATGGGTAAAATAAGGCAGAGCTCCTCTTCCCCAGCCCCAAACTGACTCGTACATCTCGTGTGTTACATGGAATTTGTGAGCAAGAGGTGCAGTCCTCACCCATATATCCTTTAGAGCCTTCCCTTCAGCTAGTCAGTGGGCTCCTGCCAACGAAGGTAGAAAGCTGCCTTCAGAGTGATGTGTCCTGCTAGTCCTGCTCAGCCACCCCAGCAGGAAACTTCAAAGGCTTCCATGTTGCGGCTGGCATGTCGCTGCTGTTATTCATGGATGCTGGAGATTAAAAATCAGTCTCTTTGAAAAATCAAATATGTTTTTTTCATGGTTATTAATCTGGGATTTTAATTCTTTGATTGTCTTTCTTACTAACTAAAGCTACGTGCCCAGAGACTTGACTTCCCTCAGTATGCAATCACACGTTTGTTTTTTTTTCTGGAAGAAAGCCTTCATGTGAGCAAAACTTGTCCCCAGTACTCTGAAGCATGGGGTTTTGGTGATGCTTTCAAAAGTCTCACACGCTGGCCTCCTGACTGACTGCAATGGCATGCCTAGAGGCAAACTTTTAGACGAACTGTGATGCCTTTGAACCCCCTGCTACAGATCCCTTTGAAAATTCAGGCTGTGGTACAAGAGCAACAAGGTGTAAGTCAGGAATAGGAGAGAGCCATTAGCAGACATTTTTTGTTCAAGTGCTGTGTGAATGCTAGAGAGGGCATGTAGCGATCCCTTCGTCCCTAACCTCACTTTGAACTCTGAGTGGTTACAGCATTCGATCATTTGAGTGAAATTCAAGGTAAAATGCCATTTTCTCTCTGGTCGCAAGGGATACTGCAGCTGCTTACAGTTCTTTACTGATATATATGTGCATATATATATATTTAAATTTAATTTGTCAACATTTTTTCTTTTCTGGTTTTTGCTGCCTGTTGCTAGAGACATGTGGAATGTTAATTGTACTGTATATGGGTCTCTCCCCACCCCGCCCTTGTGTCTTTTCCTCTCCCCTTTCCTTTCTTTGTTCCTTTTGTCTCTCACAGCAGTCTGAACAGCGTTAACAGTAGTGATTCCCGGTCCAGTGGCTCGCACTCGCACTCACCTAGTTCACACTATCGCTATCGCAGCTCCAATCTGCCTCAGCAGGCACCCATGAGGCTGTCCAGTGTGTCCTCCCATGATTCTGGATTCATGTCCCAGGATGCTTTCCAGTCCAAATCGCCATCCCCCATGCCACCAGAAGCACCTAACCAGGTACGTGCAAGCATGAGAATAAAAACCTGAGCGTGAGCTGGACTCTGTAACTTGGCTCACTTTTCACAAAAAGGATCTGGTGTGGTTTTGGGGTACCATGGAGTCAGGTTAAACACTGAGGGTCAGGTTTGTCTCACTGCACTTCATCCATCTAAAAGTTGGGCCTCTAGCTGGAGTGATTTATCCTGCTTTTGCAGTTAGTGCTGAAGAAAGGGATGAGTTGCTCTTGGGAGATTTGGTTTTCATTCAGGCCCTGGAGGGAGCCTAGATGCCTAACTTTCAGATACATACAGACAAGAAAGAGCAAGAAGTCCCACCTTACAGGAGGGAATAATACTGACTTTACCCACTGAGGTGACCAGTTAAAATCCTGCACAGATTGCAAGTTGTTAATATCTGGTGGCTGTTTGCTGTTTAATGGACAAATACCAGTGCCAGAACAGCCTTCTGACAACCTTAGTACTGATATTGGTGGCTTCAGCATCAGAGAGACGACTTTTATTCCTCCCCTGCAAAGGGCCTGGGATACTCAAAGTACTATTAGCAGTGTCATATGAGATATTTTTTTTTCAGTTTTTATGACATCCCTTTCTGTGGATAGGCTTGCTCTTTTTGACTCTCAATTGAGCACTTTGCAGAAGTAAGGTTTCTGCATGAAAATGAAAGGTATTTTTAATTCTTTATGGAATTCATAAGAAATGAGTGTTTGTGTAGTCATATACGATAATGTCCTGAACCTAGTCAGACTAAGAGGATTTCACTATAAATATAAGCAAAATTTTTCCAGAGCATTTTTTGGTCTGCAGAAGGAAGTTGCTGCTCTATCTGTTTATGGCATCATTCCTATGAAAACTAGCTGGCCACCTGCAGGCAGAGGTTTGCGTGCCTCCATGGCATGTATCTTCCAGCACCTGAATTCTCTTTTCTGTTTTGGGTTTTTTTTTAACAAATCACCTGGCACTGCAATATTTTTTAAACAAGGCTGAACTGCTGTCTCACATTCTAAATCCCATCATAAATCTTAGTTGCAAACTGAAGAGGACCTAATATCCTGTTGTTGAGTATCACTCATTTTTAATACACTCTGAGGTCACTGGGGAAGATTGTCCTTTAGTTTAGTAAATGCCATTGCACTCCTTTTCACGTGTTGGGGAGTAGATGGTTTCGTAGGCAGTGATAACATTAATCCTCACAGTCACCAAGCAGCCAACAATTTCAGTGTTAGCGGTTACCAAGTGTCACCTGCACACTTAAGCTCCTCCTAGACCACCTTTGACAGCACACAGACCCTTACTTTTTGCAGAACGTTGAGTAAGTAGCACCCTTACTGAAATTTTTAGGGTATCATCCGAAACAGCACTTGTTCATTTAGGCTTGGAACATGTTCTCAAGGGAAGCTCAACAGGTTTTTTTTAACATATTTACCTCTTTCATTTTAATAGAAATGCTTTGTTTTCAAATGAATACATCTTCTGCACTGTCCCAAGTCTGGACACATCAGCATTTTTTTATAGATGACATCCTGAAGAACTTTGTGCACACTAATAAAACGAATGTTTTGTTTAGATTGGCTATGGCTAACCTAAGTGAAATGCAAAAAAGTAAATGAGCAATAATAAAGTAAACTGGAATAGTAACAAGGTAAGGAAGTTGACTTTTAAGATATGTCCATCAGTTATACATGCTAGCATCATCTTTGGTTTTCATTGTATCCACTGCACCTGCATAAAAGGGCGGTAACCTACATGATGATGCTGTTTGCAGATGAGGATGTAACTTTGCAATTGCCCTCAGCATGGAAAAAACCCAACACCTCTCTTTTCAACTTCCCCTGTTAAGCAGGGGAAGGAACTTAGGCTGGTATCAGCTGGCAGAACATCCTGAAAGTTGCTGGGAGTCATGCTGATTTACGCACCAGCTAAGTTCATATGCTTTCACTTCATTTTAGAAACTGTCCATAAAGTTGCAAACTGATCCAAGCATCACTTGAGCTATTCATGAGCTGTAGAAGGCTGCAGCAGTGTGGCGTTGACTTGACAAGTGTAGTGTGTTGGTATAACAAATAGGTATGTGCTCTGTATGTCTCTAGTTCTGTATACCTTTACGCAGAGGAGAAGGTAACAGATCATTGCCTGGCCGCTTCACCTTTGCTTAAGTGTGTCGCTTTGTATGTTCAGCACTAAGTAAAATGTGTGTGTTGTGCTGACAGATAATTGTGATCGTGAGCTTACCGAGAAGCTGTTCAATTTACAGCGTTATTTCATGTTGTGTGTCTCTAACCAACTGACAGATCCTCCTTGTGGTATTCTGCTTTTGAGGCTCAGTGGTGGGTGGGGAGGAGCAGTGGTATCCGCTGCTGCCTGGTTCTGAAACACTGATGTCATTGTTTCTAATCGTGACACTGAGAAAGCAAAAAAGCAAGCTCTGGAATCAACAAAGGAAATTAAAAGCTATATATCTTGCGCAGGTGGACACTTTGCTGATGTTTGCTAGCTACGTGCTGTGGCATCTACTGGCAGCAGCAGTTCTGAAGGCAACAAAGCCCATTTTCCTTTGGTTCCAATCTAATGGATTTAACAAAAAAAATAAAAAGTAGAAGGGGGCCACATAAAATTCCCATATTAGGGGAATGAGACTACATGAGCTTTGTGAAGCTTTTATGCTCTCACCTACCTTTTAGACAAGCAAGTGTCACTGAAAATGAAACTGAATTTCTTCAGAAACACAGATGGGGGGAAGAGGGAATCTCAGACAAGACTTAAGTAGAGATTTAAACAAGATACAGACTATACCAGAGGAGAGATGAGTGGCAAAATGAAGACTGCTTTTCAGCCTAGAGTTGCTGAGTAGTAAGTCTTTACAGTTATCACACTCTGCATAGAAGATAGGAAAAAGAGCAATTATAAAACCAGGCTCTGTCCTTGCACCGGTTTAGTACAATCTCTTTTCTGCAGTGTTGCTGTTAACATCACTGGGAGTAAAAGTGTTAGCCTGTGTCAGATAACTGTACATGTGTCGTGGTTTAACCCCAGCCAGCGACTAAGCCCCACGCAGCCGCTCACTCACTCCCCACCGTGGGATGGGGGAGAGAATCAGAAGGGTAAAAGTGAGAAAACTCGTGGGTTGAGGTAAAAACAGTTTAATAGGGAAAGCAAAAGCCGCGCATGCAAGGAAAGCAAAACAAGGAATTAGTTCACTGGTTCCCATGGGCAGGCGGGTGTTCAGCCATCTTCCAGGAAAGCAGGGCTCCATCACACATTAATGGTTACTTGGGATGGGTTGCAAACACCATCACTTCAGGGCTCCATCACACATTAATGGTGACTTGGGATGGGTTGCAAACACCATCACTTCAAACGTCCCTTCCTTCTTCTTCTTCCCCCAGCTCTATGTGCTGAGCATGATGTCCTATGGTGTGGGATATCCCTGGGGTCCGCTGGGGTCAGCTGTCCCAGCCATGTCCCTTCCCAGCTTCTTGTGCCTCCACAGCCTCCTCACTGGTGGGGTGGGATGAGCAGCAGAAGAGGCCTTTGACTCTGTGTAAGTGCTGCTCAGCAGTAAGGGAAACATCCCTGGGTTATCACCACTGTTTCCAGCACAAATCCAAACCACAGCCCCATACTGGCTACTATGAAGAAAATTAACTCTACTCCAGCCAAAACCAGCACAACTTGTGGAAAGGTCACTGAAAAAAGCTTTAATTAAGCAAGTGCATTTGAGTGTAGCTGAACAGCTGAAAAGCATCGCAGGTCTTTTTCTGGAGTGGAACAGTTTCTCTAAATGCCAGATTTGAGGTCAGCCCCGGCCAGCGTTGCCCAAGGCATGTCCTGGCACCATGTAGAGCCCTTCTGGCAGACCTGCTGCTGGGAGCACAGAGCAGCTCCTGGATGGACATCCAACACGGCTGATGCTGTTAAACCTACACATTGCCCTATGCAGTAGGACAAAGGCCCGTGACAAAGTAGTGTGGTAGTAATACAGTTATGTGTGATTTAGGGGGATGATAATAGAAGGATCCACTGGACAGGACTGAACATGCACATGGGAAGTGATGATATAGTTGGGTTTTAGGGGTTGCTTGTGACTTGGTGGGGATGAAAGCAAGGAGAGAAAGCGAGAGAAGCAGATGAAGGAAAAAAACTTTATGTGCATCAAACAGCAGAGGACTAAGTCTTTATTGTTAGATTATTCTGGAAATTGCTTTCCCTAAATATTGAAGTAGAGGGAAACTAGATGTGAACTTGCTTCCACGTGTACAAATAAGCAAGCTGGAAAGATTCTGCTTTTGAGGAGACTCCATTGCTTGAAATAGCTTGAAGTTAGAACAGGGGAAATACAGTTAAAACTCTTCAGTCTTCCATGTAAATTAAGAAGTGCTCCTAAAGCAGACTTTTAAAAAAACCCCAACAAACAACTGAAATGTATCTGTTAGTTATCAACATGTGGTTTTCTCCTAAATTCCTTTTCAAATTAGGTTTCTCTAGGGTTTGTCCCTGACTAGAAAAAGGGCCTCAGTAGAGACATGTTCCTGGAAGTGAGACAAATTGAGGAGATGACCTGGGGTTGCTATCCAAACCTTTTTGAAAGGTAACTGAGGAGTCTTCCACTGACTGCAGAGGGACCTTGGACCAAGGTCTTCATTAGGATTTGGCCTCCTGGCAAAACCTGGTCTGGTAGCTGAGGAAGGGAAGGGGTTAAGAAAGCAATAGTATATTTGAATGGAAAACATAGGAAACAAGGGATGCAAGTAACCCAAGATAACTGCGGTCCTCTTATAGGTTAGTAGGACAGCAGATGGAAAATATAATCATACGGTCCAGTAGCCCAAAATATAGCTTTTTTTTTTTTTATATCTATGCTGGAATTCATCCATACCACACCAAGCAGTGGGACACTATCCAAGAACAAGCCGTGGCACAGTGTCTGAGAGACCAGATACCGAGCCGCATACGTATAATGTACATTTGAGGAACTGGTTGTTACTGTGCAGAGCACAGTTTTAGCTTTCTGCTGATACTGTTAACTTCAAGCTTTTTCTCAGAAGAGATGGTTTGAGAGCGGAGCAGAACCACCATTATCACAGCTGTGGAAAAAAAGAATAATCTCCTGGGGTTAAAATAGTTAAAATGAAAGAACTCATTTTAAAAATGATTCAAACTAAACACTCATTTTAAAAAGGAATGGACTAAAATAAGTTGAAAAAATTCCGTAGTTAAATTTCTCACTCCACAGGGTGTGGAGTAGAAATTGCTCTGCCTGGTGTTTGCCTGTGCGTGTGCTCCCAGGAGTGCTGTGCGGGCGGGTGTGCATCTAGAACAAGCACTCCAAAGTTTGGAGACTTTTTGCCCAAGCAGTAAGCATGCAGTTTCTGTTTTCAGCCCCTCGTATACTTTCTGCAAAGAAGTGAAGGGTGGTCTGTGCTTCCCACACCCGAGTCCAACCCTGTGTCTGCAGTCTGATCCGGGCAGCCTTTGACCTGCTGTCGCTTGTGTTTTCTTTACACTTTTCCTTCAGGATTTCAGTATTCTTCTGCCTCCCTCCCCATCATCTTCTCTTTTTTAGCAAGACCAGAGGGTCCCCTTCCCGGTGCCACGCGAGATTCTCAAGACGAGGAGACTCAGTTTCTCTACCACCACCTCTTGCATTCCCTTCAACTACCAAGGTGTTTTCACCATGGCATCTTTGTTCATCCTTTGCCTAGCTTTGCCTGCTGAAAGTGGCCACACTGAGTTAATGGGAGAATCCTTTCTTTCATCTTTTTTTCACCTTGGAGTCACTTTATTGCAAAAATAAGTTCACCACTTCCAGTCTTTTTTCCCTGTGTGCCAAGTAAATTGAACAATTCTTTGCATCTTCAGAATTCGCTTTTTTTTCCTTTTCCCATCTAGTTGCTACATGCAGCTTTGTTGCTAATAAACCTCACTTATGACCCATTTCTACCATCACTTGACATAATCTTGTGAAGTTTCTGGCTTGTAAACGGGAGTAGTCATTCAGGTGTAAACTCCAAATTCTCACTTGTCATCATTTGGGCATCTGCAGAAAATAAGGTGATGTGATACCAGATTTGGAACTCAGACCCTTCAGTGTCTGTCCTGCCACATGCAGAGTATGCAGACCCAGGAGGGTCTTTCAGGCCGTAAGCATGAGGTTTCAGAAAGCATTTTCTGAAATTACATTTTTCTCTCTTCCCCCCACCCCCAACCCCCCCCACCAGCCAAAGTGCCACACACTAGTCTGAGTGTTCTTATGGGGCTTCTCAAACAGTTTATTTTGCTGAACTACCTGGAATGTCAAGCAGAACTTGGAGCTTTAAAAGCTAATTTTCTATAATGTGTTTTTCTCTAAGGAGTGAAAAAATAGGCTCATCTCCGTTTTGCATACTGTAGTTATGTCTGATGGCAGAGTCAACTGCAGCTCGTGTTTGTCAGTATTCTTACTTTTAGAGGTTTTTCTCTTGTAAAAGGAGTTGCATTAAATCAAGAATGTGACAAGTTCCACAAAACATCAAGGCACTGCATCATCACGTACCCCACTGCATACTTTCCAGTTCTCTCCTTAATAGCTACATGTCATTCGTTGTAGTTTCTTCTGATCTTATGTTCACCTCAACTCTTACTGCACTTTGAATACGAGTCGTGTTAGCTGAGCTTACTTGTACCCAAAACACATTTGACGTGTCACCTGCAAATCTGACCTCATGTCAGCATAAGATGGGATGTGCATTATTTCTATAAAATAATCCACCACATTGCATGCTTTTTAAACATTTTTTAACAGCCTTTTCAAAGTTTCACTTAAATCCAGAGTTTGCTGATAAGCTCAAGATGCTGTATTGGCTTCTCAACAGCCCCGGTAGTCTTCACCAAAATCCTTATGGTGATGGTGTCCCATCTCAGGAGATCGACATCTCCTTTTACCTAGGCAATTAACAGTACATTCCTTATACATAGCTTCCAGCGAGCAGCGAGACAACTGCTCTGTGTTAGCAGTAATTACTCCTCTAGAGTGTCTCTTATCCAGCTGTCTTTATTGGAAACTCACCCTAAGATCTCATCTAAGGTTGGCTGATGAAATTTTATTTCAGATGAGATTTCTCTTCCTCTTCAAAATGTCATTCCTTGAAATCTGAGGCTTTGCTACACAAACTTGATACAAGAGCACATTTGCTCTGCTGTCATAAAATAAAATGCCAGGGATATCCTTAGATAGACTTGCTTCACAGGTCTTGGACTACCAAAGGATGAATTAGTCTTGCTAGTGTTGAATTTCCTGACAGCGAATAGAGCTCAGTACTGCCCTGACAACTTTGCTGGTGCTTGCCACCATTTCCAAGCACTGGGTTGGACCTGCATGCACACCCCTGCTGAGGGGGGTGCCCCTTTCAAGGGGGAGATATATAAGAGCATTGTAGTTGGTAAAATGGTCCACGTGGTTATTCACCTTGGTCTGCCTGTAGGTGAATTAGATGCTGCTGTAGAGGTCTTACAGCAGTAAATGTACGTAAAGGCGTGCACTGAAAATTGGAAGAGAAGTTCCTAGCTAGGAGCAAAATGTTCGAGGCGTTGGATGGACACCCCATGTCCTGCATTTTCCTTCGCTCTCCATCCGAGCCCCTGATATTTTCTCTCTCTGCTGTTAAGGGAAAGCGGGTGGCAAGCACATGCCACCATTTACGCACTCAGCAGAGTACATGTACCCTCATATTGGCTGCTGGGCAGAAAAGTTTGAGTCAGAGTGGTTTTGGCGTATGCATACTACCCGCAGAGGCACATGCATACAGGCAATGCGCTTTGGAAACCTCCAGTTTTGGTAAGTATCACTTCTTTCTCTGTTCCATAATATTTGAACTCAGATGAGCTTTTCACAAGCACTTTTGCAGATCAGAATATCCGAGAACTTGTGAATGTAAGTGACGTTTGCTGCTCCATGTTTTAAAGCTAAACTTTGTTTAGTTAGTCTTTGAAGTACTGATGATCTGCTTTTCTGTATAAATCAGTCGTCTCAGTATATTGCATGTTTGGACCGTAGGTGCCCTCAGCTCCCTCAGCTTCTTGTTCTGAGACAGCTAACAGAATTGAGATGCTGAAATTGCAATGAGGAGTTGAGATCACTGCCTCGATTCCCTCATTCTCAAGCAGCGTGGCAAGTTCTCGCATTAAGCAAATGGCTTGTTTTGTTTCTCATAGATTTCCTGAACATTAGCAATGGTTTTGAGCAGTTTCTAATTGATTTTTAAAACCCTAACACTTTGCTTCTCTCATCCTTCCCTCTCTCCTGTGTGTGTCTCTGTGTATGTGCTTTTTGTCCCTTTTTTTTTGTGTGGTTTTTTTATTTTTTTGGTGGCTTGTGTATCCTTTCCTTGCGTTGCGGTGCTGTTTTACGCTGCAGAATTCGTCCAGCTCTGCCTCTTCAGAAGCCTCTGAAACCTGCCAGTCAGTGAGCGAGTGCAGTTCCCCCACCTCAGTCAGCTCAGGCTCCACCATGGGGGCTTGGGCCTCCACAGATAAGGTGAAAAACTTCATCTCAAAGACATACAAACCTACTAGCTTGTTATCCAAACCCAGCAACATTTGGACAAAAAAAAAAACCCAGACCCGTGCATGGGACACAGCCAGGATTCCTCTCTGTGAAGATGAGAATAGGAACTGTCGCACGCTCCCTTAGAAATGAATCTGGATAAACCACAGCGACACTTGCCTTTAAACTAGCTGCTAGGGGGAAGCTACAAACTGGGCATTGTGCAGGGGTAATTTTCTAAGAAAAGCTCATTGTCCACCTTTTCTGCTGGAAGAGGTTGTGGAATGCTGCCCAAACCCAGCTGGTTGCCTAACGAAGAGCATCTTGCCCAGGTTGTGCTGTTTGTGGCTTCTCCCCTCTCTCCCATAAGGTAGCACACATTACGCTGAGCAATTGGGCTTTGGTTTTGACCAAAACAAAAAGGAAACCAAAACACACATGGGTGGACTAAATTACGGGCGATACACCCTGAATCGGGGGAGGAAGCGGTAGCGGTCTCCATTCTCATCTGGTAAATCCTTGCTGTTGGTTTTTTCTTTTATTTTTTCTTCCATATCATCACACGGCCAGAACACGTCATTTTTGAAGGCTGTATGCTTTTCCTCTCTGTCCAGCTACATAGAATAAACACCACCAATGCAAATGCCTCCAGTATTGGCAATGTTTTGTTTCTATGTCCGCAGTCTGCAAGTTACCTAAATTGCAAAGGCTTTTTCACAGTGTGCCGCTTTCATGGACAGAAGGCAAAGCTGCTCAGCCTGGAGACAATGACTGCTAGATTGATGTCTGAAATTTGTTATGCCAAATAACAATTTTCAAGCAATCTCACTCCTGAACCAAGCATTGTATCAATTTTCTGTTGTTTATTTGCAGCAAAGCTAAGATTTTTCTTTCTTTTGTTTTAAGATACAGAAGTTTTCTCCCTAGAGCATCAGTCGCAGTATATTTTCATATTCATTCTGTTTATATTAATTTCTCTGTTTTTGTTTGTTTATTTGTTTCGTTTCCAGTTGTCTAATGGGTTTTATCACTGTAGTTTATCAAGTGACCCATCCGTAGCTTCAGTTGGTGCAGGTCCTTTCCCTCATTTCCCGCCTGTCTCCCGCGCGTGGACTCGGGCTCCCTCAGCCCTCCTTCCAGACTACGTTCATTATTACACCATTGGGCCAGGCATGTTACCATCATCTAAGATCCCTAGCTGGAAGGTTTGTGTTCCTTTTGTTGTGGCAGTCCTCACCTCCTCATACCAACAGTGTTGCACACGGCAGTTGTTGCTACCTTTCGATCCGTGTAATTACTCGTTGATTTGCTCTGTTTAATATCACTCTGAATAGGCACCGCATGGTGATAATCAGAGAGCTAAAATCCTGTAGTGGACATTTCTGAATGACCTTGTCTATTCTGGCACTGCCTAAAATGTGTTAAAGCTGACAACACCTAGGTAGGAAGGCATAGTTTAACTCCGGAACGTTGGTGAAAGCACTCCGGGCTCTATTCAGCGAGAAAAGAGCTTGTTCAGCACCGGCAAAGTGCTCACTGGAGCAGGGAAGTGCAGGCTTGGCATCCAGTTGGCTTAGCAAAACCATACATTGAAGGACACGATGTTCTCCCCACAGCGGCTGTGCTCGGCCCCCACCTTGGCCGTAGGCAGGCATGCTCTGGTAGATCTAGCTGGAGTGGTTTCAGAAGGCGCCCGTCACCGGGTGAACCTACGTGGTGACTGAAGCTGTCCTAGCTTTACTGCCACGACTGAAAGTGCTCACCCGGCTTGTTTTGCTCTCTTGGGTGAGACCCAAAAAAGTCCGAGTGCAGTAACTTCTCTCAGTTTCTCCAGCTGGATCTGCAGGGATCTTCCTTGGCATCGAAACGTCTCTGCTCTGTCAGAGCCTGGGCTCTCATCCCTGCCAGGTGATTTCCCTGGGAGATTCTGCCCCCGGTCTCTTGTCTGTTGCCCTGAGTCTTCACAAGGCTATCAGGTCTTAGGTGCCCATGGATGGTTATATGATACTGCATATGCACCACGGGACCTTCTTCTACGTGTAAATTGAGATGCCTTCTTACAGATCCCCCAGATCTCTCTCTCCAGCAGCTGGAGGCTGTTGAGGCATACGCACAGGGTGGCCACAGTGGTCCTGGGGCTGCAGGGTCATTAGTTGCATCTATGCTAGAAGCACTTTGCCAAGATATTTCACAGCAAATCGCTTACAGCAGAGACACAGCTGTTACGGCAAAGCAGAATTTCATATATGTTAATAAACCCAAAATACCTGTCTGCACAAGGGGCTTCTGTCAGTACAGCTGCCTCGCGCTCCTCGTGCCTTGGACTGAGACACGTCAGTAAAAATCTCGAGTGTGATCTTAGCCCGTCATTAATGATTTATCAGGCGGCTCTGCGGGGGCTGCCCAGCGGCCAGCTGCTGCCAGCGGTGGGGGGTGGCCCATTCTCATGCACAAGCTGTTTCTTCTGGTTTTATGTTTTAAAGCACCCCTTGTGTTGGCAAGGGAAAACTCTCTTAGGATTGGGCTCACCCCTGCAGCAGCTCACATTTGGGGAGCTGCTGCTTAGCAGTGGTTCTGTGTCCCAGCACAGGTCACGGATCAATCCCGCTCTTCATGTGCAACGTGTGGTTTCTGGACACCCTCAGGACTTTGCTTAATAGAGCCCCGAGTGAATATAGCCCTCGTGGCCTGAGGAATTTCTGTTTCAAATTTGGCACCAGTAATTCAGAGTGAAGTTAGTCTTTCTTCAGTACAGATCATTATTACAAACTAGATTTCAGCTAGTAAGTAAACTGAGAGGTTACTCAGAGTAACTTACTTGCTCCTCTAATGCGTATCAAAAATCTGTTCAAGCCTAATTTTTCAGAACTGAAGACACGCGTAACAGCACGTAATACTAGAACTTGCTAAAATCTAGAACAGTTACATCGCTGATTGGACATTTATGTGTATTTTTTGCTGTGTGCCAGTGAGTTTTGCATTTGAATTTCTGAAAACATAGGCTTTAACATAATGGAATTTCAGTTAGAGAAAACTATAGTATTAAACTGTTAAATATCTTCACATAAGAACATTTAGGTAGAATAGGAACTCTAGATTCCCTTTAATAAAGGAGATATAGGTTTTATAAGTGAAGATTTTTAATATCCTCAAAATTAATTTATTTCTGGCCTTATTCAGAAAGGCAGATACAGTCTGATACATAATCTGTTGCATTAAAATTGCCTTTTTGCATAATTTTACTTGTGATTAAAGCACAATTACTGATGAAAGCTATCACTAACAAGCGCATTTCCTTAGGATTGGGCCAAACCAGGCCCATACGATCAACCAATGGTGAACACATTGCAACGTCGCAAAGAAAAACGCGAGCCAGATCTCAATGGAGGAGCTCAGAGTGGACCACCCGTGCCCCCGGAGGAGGCCCAGAGACCTCGGAGCATGACGGTGTCGGCTGCCACAAGGGTGAAGCTCTAATTTCGAATGCGCTATTTCATGCAAAGGAAGTGGATGCGCTAGCTCCTGCCAGTACTTTTTTGCCATGCTTCATGTTGGCATGTGTTTGTCCGACAAGCAGGAGAGGTGTGGTCAGTGAAAGAGACGTGAGCATGAGAGAACGTGCCATTGGCTATTGGCATTTGTAGAGCTATGGCATCCTAAGAAGCCTCTGTTTCTTGGAAGCCCTAGTAAATGGTTGGACGCGGTCCTGTTGGGTTGCGATGGTGACAAGCTCTGCTTGGAAGCAGAGACAGCTAAAAATCGGTGAGGATTGATTAACCTTTCTGGATGTAATGAGCCTCCTTTCTGTGTGTAACCAGCAGGGTGAGGAGATGGAGGCCTGCGAGGAGCTGGCGCTTGCCCTGACGAGAGGGCTACAGCTGGACACCCAGAGGAGCAGCCGGGATTCCTTGCAGTGCTCCAGTGGCTACAGCACCCAGACAACAACTCCGTGCTGTTCAGAGGACACGATCCCGTCTCAAGGTACCCACCCAAGAGATGCTCTCTTTCAGAGCATTCCCAGCCTGGCCATCATACACTCACCCCGTGGTGCCAAGGAGCTGGATTCTGGCAGCTATCGCTCACTGGCTTTGTAGGCAGCTAGGGAGAAAGGGGTGAACATTGCTGTTGTGAAGTTTTTTCCAACTTGGAATGCAGCCTGGATTTATTCACTAAATAGAAACCTGGATTGCTGCATAGTGTACTGAACGTTCGTATTTTCTTGGGCATTACGAGAATGAGTTTTAGCTTAGGGATATTACTATTTTAAAGAAGGTGATGGAATTGTATTTCATGGGTTAAATGAAATTACACTGCTGTTGCATGTACACTTCCTGGGGTAGGAGTGTCCTTTCTGAGCTATTGTCATAGCAAATAGACACTCATGAGCTTTACTTTCTCATTCCGTCAGTATACTGAATCTGCTCTTGGTTTCCCTTTGTAACCTTTTATTTCTTACCTAAGCAGAAATTTTGTAACTGGAAAAAAGAATCCAGTGGAGACCTTCGCTTGGGCGTACCTGGGAAGCTGCAATCAGGTGTTGGGTTCTGTACCCTGTTTCAGAGCCCGAGAGGGGCTGAGTTTGGTGTTCGCAGTTCAGCAAGCCCCTCGTTTGCTCAGCTGAGGTCGGTTGTGCTGTGCAGTCGCAGGAGGCAGTGGGGCTCCTGGAGGGCCTCGCTTGGCTCAGCAGTTACGTGGAAAGGAAGGAACCCCATCCAGTTATTAAAGCTGAGGCTGTTTTCTGAGCTGACAGCTGGGATTTACTTTGCAAAATAAGTAAATTTGCTGCTGAAATCAGTGGTACACAGTCCCCTGAGCCCCACATTGCCTAAAGTACGCTTTTTAGTCACTGGCTGTTTCAAGTATTTGTATCTACAAGCGGTAGCATATGGCTTGGAGGATGCTGGTTTTGGTATCTTAATGTTGGCAGCAAACACTGAGTCTTCGTTACTTAATTAGTTCTTTTCAGAGAAGGTACTGAGTGTGTACAGTTCTCTTTCACAAGAGATGTGGGCACCCTGCAGCTTTAGGGTCGGTCTGCTGCGGGTGCCTTCAGCCCTGCAGTCTGAGAATCTTGGTCACGGTATCTCAGGCTTCCTTCCTCCTAAAGGGGAAACCTATCATAATTCCTATTGACCGCCAGGCTTTTTTGGTTATTTATGCTTTTTCAGTTACACACACTTTAGACTTACTGACGTGACTCAGCTGTCTTCTCCAGCTTGTTCCTAACTCTGTCCTTTGGCATCAGTTTCAGATTATGATTATTTCTCTGTGAGTGGTGACCAGGAGGCAGAACAACAAGAGTTTGACAAATCTTCCACCATCCCAAGAAACAGCGACATTAGCCAGTCCTATCGCAGAATGTTTCAAACCAAGCGTCCTGCTTCCACCGCAGGTCTGCCAACCACGCTCGGACCGGTCATAGTCACCCCCGGCGTCGCCACCATCAGACGGACCCCTTCCACCAAGCCTTCAGTCAGACGCGGTACCATAGGGGGAGGTCCGATCCCCATCAAGACGCCAGTGATTCCTGTCAAAACGCCGACTGTCCCCGATATCCCAGGGGGGCTGCCCGGCACCCTCGCTGGGACGGAAGAATGTCCCGAGCAAAGTCCCGAGTCTCCGGCAGCAGGAGATGGTGGGCAAGGCGTCACCAGCATGCCCTCGTCCTCATGGAGCGGACAAGCGTCTGTCAACCCTCCGCCGTCAAGCCAGAAACTGAGCGCTGCCGACGAGCAGAGGCAAGCGGTGCCCGAGAGCGAGGGGGAAGAAAGCGACCGGGATGGCGTCAGCCCCCTCGCGCCCGCGGGCCAGCCGGAGCTCGATCCCGGGGAGCTGAGTCCTGGGGATGTCCCGCAAGGCGAAGATATGCTGAATGCCATTCGGCGTGGCGTCAAACTGAAGAAGACGACCACGAATGATCGCTCAGCGCCTCGTATTTCCTAGGAGTGGAAAAGCTGCCAGAGTACTAGCCGCCGAGAAGGAACTGTGAGGAAACCAATTTGTCTCTATCCATTCCAATCTGTAATCAATGAATTTTTTTAAGATACTCGGTAACAGACAGTCTGAAAGTACTCTGAAAGAGAAGACAAGGTGAAAGAGCGTAGTAAGACATAATCTTCACTGGTGTTTTAATTTGTAAATATCAATGATTTTGTTTCTGCATTTTTTTTTGATCTAAGTTACACTTTTAATTTTTTCTGAAGGTGCCAAATCCCATTTACCTTTTTTATAACTCTCTTTGTAAAGTTTTAAATCATAGGAGAAATAAAAAAATGTCGAGTAGTTAACTTCAGCTAAGGGACTTAATGAAAATTTGGCTTTTTTGCAAGCTTTTGTAGAGCGCCTTGTAATAGCGAGGGTAAAAAACAAAACAAACCAATGGGACTGACTTTAAAGTTTAAGTCAAGCTGCAAGGAACAGATCCTCATTTAAGTATTAAAAAGTTTGAAAAGCAGGAATAAAAATTGACAATAAAAGCAATATATAATGCAAGGAAGAAACCTGCAGTTGGTAGAGCATTTGGGGGGTAGTGGGGGGAGGGAGATGCCATCAAACTAGCAGATGCTGTTGCACAAAAGTAGCCTAGTAGGATTAATTACTAGTAGCTTCATGGTAAATGCATCAGAATAAGCCATACTGGATTGCAGTGTTTTGTTTCTGTAGGGTGTTTTAAAGACTGGGTTTTTTCCACGTTTCTTTTTTTGACTGCACAGCACCAACTCTCAGTCACATGCATGCAGCCTTAACTGTGTAGGCTTGGTTCTTCCACCTCCACTTTTCGTTCCGCTCATCCTTTCACTGACAACAAACAAGGACGACAGGCTTAAGGCAGTTACAAATGTGAAAACATTTTTAAAACGCGAGCAGGGAGTTCTTAGATATTATCAAAAATGCCTTTTTCTGACTGTGCCCAGCAGGCTGGGCACCTGGGAAAGCCCAAATATTTTGAGAAAACACTTCACAATTTGACAGGTGTAACCAGCTTGTGATCTAATAAACTGCGAATGTTTCTTTCCAATACAGGGGCTTGTTTTTCTTAACTTCTTTTAAAGGGCAGTCGATTGGCTTTTCTTAAATACCGAGAGGAAAGGGGTGAAGGGTGGGGGGTGGGGAGAGATACTGGTTTTTTGATAATACTGGGAGTCCGACCACTATATTCTCTTTTTTTGTACTTTAAGTCATGTTTTTTGGAACGCTATTGATAGAACTATTAAGAGTTGGATTTTTTTCCTTAAAAGTAAGTTATTGCTGCAATACCCGTCTCCTAAAGCTGACAGAAATATGCAGGCCCCGGGGCACGGCCCGTGTTCCGCTCAGCCAGCCGGGAAGGATGCCGCCCGCAGCAGGCCCCCGCGCGGACGGACCCCGGGCACCGGGCAGCCGGGACTGCTGGAAAATGCGCCAAGGCACGCGTGCAAGGGGCCGGTTTCCACCACGCGCTCTGCAGATTTCTGTGGGCTCCGGGCTTGCCTACATAACCTTATGCTTTAATACATAACCGCGTTGGGTGTGAAACTTCTAGTACCTGTGTCGTCGCTGTGTTCTATATTAACATTTTACACTGCTGTGGTTGCTAACCTCTTTTTTTTTGGTTGGTTTTTTTGTTGTTTTTTTTTTTTTGTTATGGCTTAAAAGCAAAAAGCAGGAAAAAAAAAAAAAAAAAAAAAAAGGCATGATTCTTAGAAGATACTGAACCTTCCTTTCTTTGAAAAACAAGCTCCTTATTACCGACTATAATCAACAGTAGTGCCTGTGGTGTAGCCCACCAATCTTGACACAGTAGCTGATGCATTGTGCAAATGAGGCTTTGAGATGGTTTTTGCATAAACAAAAACTGCTAGGAGATAATCTCGATAGTTAAAAGTGTTATTTAAACCTTTGAAATAAATGGATGTAACTGTACCCGAGTACAGCTTTTCACTTGTTTAGTTCTTAAACGTTAGTATAATCAGTAAAATTTAATATAAAATGTTGCCAAATTCAATGTAGAAAGAATGTGACAAAACACTTTGGCTAGTTCTATTGTTTGTGTTTTTGCATATTGTAAAAGCAGTGTCACAGCTAAAAAATAAAATGTTTCTAATGGTAAATTATTGTGGTTTAGTTGCTAGTTTGTACTGAGAGTTGACCTCTCCCTGTGCAGTTTTTTGTTCTGAACTGGTATAAATAATTGCTGTAAGTGTGTCTCCCTTCTACATTGTAATGATCGCTTAAGCCTACGTTATAAATAAAGAACTGCTGGAAAACTTCTGTATTTCAGTTCTTAAAGACTTTCTGCTTCGAGAGCTCTGGACATCAGTGGCATCCCCCATCGGGAAGGTCACGCCGGTTCCGCCTGCGTTCCACTGCACGTAGCGGAACGTTCCTGGGGAACGGGGGGGGGGGGGGGGGGCATTGCTCCCACTTTTAGCCACCACCCAGTGGCCTCATTTATGTCCTTGCCGCTGCGAAACTCGTTTTTGTCCAGAGGTTTCCATTTGTCACGAAGGCGTTAGAGCAAAACTCAGGGTGGTTTGGCTGGAAATAATAACGTCCCGTCTCCCAGAGGCTGACCCGTTCGTCCCCGCCTCCCCCGGCCACCTCTCGCCTACCACTTGGCCAGGCGCTCTCCTTTCGGAGTTTATCCCCGCTGCTTCTACAGTGACTCCGATTCATTGCAGCTGCGCAGGCAAAACGTTTCTTTTTTGTTGTGGGCTGGGCGGGTTTTTTTTTGTTGTTGTTTTTAATGCTGTGACACAGGGTATCCACCATGTTGGGGAATGCCAGTCAGACCCGCTCAGGTGTTAGGAGGGACTTTTTGCTCTTTTCTAGCTATAAAAAAAAAAAAAGTGGTTGGTTGGGTGACTGGGAGGGAGGGCACAAAATCCCACATAATTAAAAAAAAAAATATTTTGGCATTTGCATAATTTCTGAGTAGAGTGACCAGTCAAGCGAAGCACAGGAACAGGGCCTGGGGAAAGGCGAGGCGTGGGAAGAGGGGACGGTTTTTGTAAGCTTGCATTTCTCTGAAGGGATGTCAAGACCCCTCCTCGGCACGCGCCCGCTGACTGCTCGGACTGGCTCTGCCCCGGGTGGCACGGAGCACCTGGCACCCACCGGCCCCCAGCCCAGGGGGGCTTGTGCTGGGCCAGGGGAGATGGCCACGCAGGCTGGGGGCAGGGGGGGGCAGGCGGGGCG